ACAATATGAATTTAATGATGGGTGTTATATGTAAATATAGATTTTTAGAAGTGTATTGTAAAATCCTTAATATTACGCTACTAGCATAAATATCAAACATTCCAAATCTTTATTTTTTATTCTTCACAATACTTTATAATTCATTTATAAAACGAAAATGGAACATTCCACATTATTTTATCTTTAGAAATTTAATTGCTTGACTTTCAAGTAAAAAAATACATTCCAAATATTTTAATTCAAGTAGAACAATGAATCGGTGAACAACTCTATCACGCTATTATTATATTTGTCACTTCTGTTGCTATCTAGTGATATTTTGTATACAATTAAATTCGCGTGTGAAATACAAAATGTATTTTGATTTTTCAGTTTTTCAAGGCATTTCTAAGTCTGGTGTTATAAACTGACAATAGTTTTTAATTGTTTTTTGAATATTTGTTTATCTAAAGAAATAAAGAGTTTGATTCTTATTGTTTGAGTTAGCATTACTGGATCACTAAACAGAAACCTTCATTACTTTTGAACAAGAACACTTTAATATCTTTGACAAACACTAAACAACTGTGGAAACTTAAATTCAGGACATAAAACTTTAGTAATTATACCTCGTCAGTAAGACATAGTTTAGGAAGTGACGTCTAAATCAAAATACGAAAAACACCGAATCTCATTTTGTACATGATTATACTTAAATAGGCGTTAGAATACTACTCCGTACAGTCTCTGTGTTTTAACTTCTGCTTAAAGAGGAAATACTCTGTTCAATTTCTGTAAGTTTTACTTAAATTGGTTCAAAACTGTTCAGTCTATATGTTTCATCTTTGCTTAAACTATTGTTTTTTAATTTCTGCTTAAAACTGAACTACTCTGTACTATGGTATTATCTTTCCATTAGTAGTAGTGACTATGTAAAGTCAGGTATTACTTTCCACTAGTAGTAGTGACTATGTAAAGTCAGGTTTTACTTTCCATTAGTAGTAGTGGCTATGTAATGTCAGGTATTACTTTCCATTAGTAGTAGTAGTGACTATGTAAAGTCAGGTTTTACGTTCTATTGGTAGTAGTGACAATGTAAAGTCAGGTATTACTTTCTATTAGTAGTAGTAGTGACAATGTGAAGTCAGGTTTTACTTTCTTTTAGTACTAGTGACTATGTAAAATCAGGTTTTACTTTCTATTAGTTGTAGTGGGTATGCAATGTCAGGTATTACTTTCTATTAATAGTAGTGACTATGTGAAGTCGGGTTTTACTTTCTATTAGTACTAGTGACTATGTAAAGTCAGGTTTTACTTTCTATTAGTACTAGTGACTATGTAAAGTTAGGTTTTACTTTCTATTAGTACTAGTGACTATGTAAAGTCAGGTTTTACTTTCTATTAGTACTAGTGACTATGTAAAGTCAGGTATTATTTTGTATTAGTATGAGTGACTATGTAATGTCAGGTGTTTCTTTCCACAAGTAGCAGTGACTATGTAAAGTCTGGTATTACTTTCCACTAGTAGTGACTATGTAATGTCAGATATTGATTTCCACTAGTAGTGATTATGTGAAGTCAGGTATTACTGTCTATTAGTAGTAGTGACAATGTAAAGTCAGGTCTTACTGTCTATTAGTGGTGACTATTTAATGACAGGTTTTACGTTCCACTAGTAGTAATGACTATATAAAGTCAGGTTTTACATTCTATTGGTAGTAGTGACAATGTATAGTCAGGTTTTACTTTCCATTAGTAGTAGTGACTATGTAATGTCAGTTGTTTCTTTCCACAAGTTGCAGTGATTATGTGAAGTCAGGTATTACTTTCTATTAGCAGTAGTGACTATGTAATGTCAGATATTACTTTCCACTAGTAGTGATGAAGTGAAATCAGGTATTACTTTCTATTAGTAGTAGTGACAATGTAAAGTCAGGTTTTACTTTGTATTAGTAGTAGTGACTACGTAAAGACAGGTTTTATTTTCCATTAGTAGTAGTGACTATGTAAAGTAAGGTTTTCCTTTCCATTAGTACTAGTGATTATTTAATGACAGGTTTTGCTTTCCACTAGAAGTAGTAGTGACTATGTAATGTCAGGTATTACTTTCTATTAGTAATAGTGGCTATTTAATTACTACTACTATTGGAACGTAAAACCTGACATTAAATAGCCACTACTACTAATAGAAAGTAATACCTGACCCTAACTATGTAAAGTCAGGTTTTACGTTCTATTGGTAGTAGTGTCTATGTAAAGTCAGGTTCTATTCTTCGTTAGTAGTAGTGACTATGTAAAGTCAGGTATTACTTTCTATTAGTAGTAGTGGCTATTTAATGTCAAGTTTTACGTTCCAATAGTAGTAGTAGTAACTATGTAAAGTCAGGTTTTACGTTCTATTGGTAGTAGTGACTATGTAAAGTCAGGTATTACTTTCTATTAGTAGTAGTGGCTATTTAATGTCAGGTTTTACGTTCCAATAGTATTAGTACTAACTATGTAAAGTCAGGTTTTACGTTCTATTGGTAGTAGTGTCTATGTAAAGTCAGGTTCTATTCTTCGTTAGTAGTAGTGACTATGTAAAGTAAGGTTTTCCTTTCCATTAGTACTAGTGATTATTTAATGACAGGTTTTGCTTTCCACTAGAAGTAGTAGTGACTATGTAATGTCAGGTATTACTTTCTATTAGTAATAGTGGCTATTTAATGTCAGGTATTACTTTCTATTAGTAATAGTGGCTATTTAATGTCAGGTTTTACGTTCCAATAGTAGTAGTAGTAACTATGTAAAGTCAGGTTTTACGTTCTATTGGTAGTAGTGTCTATGTAAAGTCAGGTTCTATTCTTCGTTAGTAGTGGCTATGTAAAGTCATGTATTACTCTGTATTAGTAGTAGTAACTATGTAAAGTCAGGTATTACTTTGTATTAGCAGTAGTAACTATGTAAAGTAAGGTATTACTTTCTATTAGTAGTAGTGGGTATGTAATATGCAGCAAGTTGAATAGTTTATTGTTCACTACTCCATCCGTTCACTTGAACAATTATTTCAATCTGCTTGATATTCCTCCCATGGTACCTTCCCATCATGATATGCTGGTTTCTCAATTGATCCCCTAAATTCCATAACTTGATGAGGTAGTGGTGCAGCTAGAGTAGTCCTGCAACCTTAAGTAACAAAACAAACGTCGACTAGATGGATTCTCATACTCCATAATATCATACTTAACGATGTTGGGGTTTGAAATTATTGACCAGATATAGAAAAATATGTGGCTGATTTGATTAACAGCTCAACTTTCGAATGTTTGACATTGGTGCTGATGCTCTTTTGTACTTTATTTTGTTATAATAATTGTTCTATACTTTATTTAAGTAATTTTGTTCTTCATTTATGTTGCTTTGTACTTCCTTTTTAATTCCATTGGTCTAATTTTCTACTCTTTTTTTTTTACTTTGTTAATGGGTTTTTGTACGTTTGGCTTTTTTTTATGATTATTTTGCAGATATTCTAAAAATATCTCGAGCTTGCCTTCAAGCAAACTTTTATTCACAACTATAATTTGAACCTCATTTTTTGTCTTTCTCCTTTCGATCTTTGTGATTTCTACCAGATTTTCGATCTCGCTTCGTGCACGTCATTTTCAAGTTTAGTCTTGATTTTTAAAAATGTATTTTACCATAGTAATCCCACTCCTGCCAACAGTATTGCAACTGTTGCTATTGCTAGGCGAGTTCTTTTGGATTATTTAATAGAAAATAATGCAAAGTCTAATCCATTTAACGGTAACGAAAGGCTTTATGTTTTCGACTACAAATTCTAGATTTAGACAGTGTCACAAACTAACGATAGGATTAACTTCACAAATAGCGCTAAACACTACTTACTTGTTTATTTTTTCGTATGAATAGTTCTTCTCTTTATTTCTTCTTAGAAACACATATTCAATATTTATGGAATTTAACTACAGCCAAACTGACTAACAAACTCATCAACTACTCTAACATACTTACCAATCCTTCAACCTTAGGTAACAAAACAGACGTCGATCAGATGGATTCTGATACTCCATATATCGTACTTAATGATGTTTGGAGCTGAAATTCTTAACCAGATATAGAAAGATGTGTGGCTGATTTGATTTATAAATTTACCAGCTCAACATTCAGATGTTTTATCCTGGTGTTGATTCTCTTTTGCACATTATCTCCTTGTTATAATTTTCTATACTTCACTGATGTAATTTTGTTCTACTTTGTGAATATGTTTTATACTTTTTCACTTTTTATAGTCATTCTCTACATCTTCTAAACATTTATAGATGTTGTCTTCAAGCAAATTCAATTTTATTCACAATTATAATTTGAACCTCATATCTTGTTCTTGTAATTCCTCTTTTAACTTCCTATCTTTCTTCTTTTACTTGATTTTCTCTCATTTTTTGTCTCTTTCTTTTCGATCTTTGTAATTTCTACCAGATTTTCGATCTTGATTCGAGCACGTCATCTTCCAGTTCAATCTTGATTTTGTTTTAAATTTATTTTCCCACAGTAATCCCACTCTTGACAACAGTATTGCAACTGTTTCTATTGTTAGGCTGGTTCTTTTGGTTTATTTGATAAATAATGCAAAGCCAAAAATTATTTTCTCATCTGTATCTTTTTCAAAAATGCTCCCCAGTGGCACAGCAACATGTCTGCGGACTTACAACGCTAGAAACCGGGTTTCGATACCCGTGGTGGGCAGAGCACAGATAGCCTTTTGCCTAGCTTTGCGCTTAACTACAAACAAACAAAATCTTTTTCCAAAATTATTTTCTCGTATTTTTATTTCTTTTTAGAAACAAAAACTCAATATTTACGGAATTTAACTACAGTCAAACTGGCTAACAAACTCGTCAACTCAATAATCAGTCAACTACTCTAACATACTCACCAATCAATCAATCTACTCACTTATAGCATAAAACGCGTTTTTATATCGCTGAAATAGTTTCCTAATCTTAAAATAAAATTGTTGTCATCAGGCTCAGCACTCATCGCGTGACATTAAAAAGTCTCTTTTTAGACAGTTGTTGCTTTTTACGGCAAAGTTAAACAATGGACTAGCTACACTCTGTCCAACATGGGGAATGGAACCTTGAATTTCAGCGTAGTAATTCTGTAAACTTGCTGCTGACCCACGTGAATATACGTTAATATGCGAATGTCTAAGTTAAGAAACACAGACAATAACAGCATATAATCAACATTACAATTTTGAAACATTTTATAGGGCAGTAGATACTTTCACATTTTAGTTATGTGCATACTGGTTAACAAGTGTTACTACTTAGTAAAAAGTGTGGGCGTGTGTTTGTTATTTGATAATATAAGAGACATGTTTTACTGACAAGTTGAAACATCTTCAAAAGAAATTATAAAAATGAGACCTATAACATCACAACAAGACTCAATGGATGATGGAACATAACATCACATTAAGACTCAATGAATGGAATATAACATCACAATAAGACTCAATTAATAAAATATAACACCACAATAAGAGTCAAAGAATAGAATATAACATCACAATAATCTCAAAGAATAGAAAATAACATCACAGTAAGACTCAATGAATGGACTATAACATCACAATAAGACTCAATGGATGGATTATAACATCACATTAAAACTCAATGGATGGAATATAACACCACAATAAGACTCAAATAATAGAATACAACACCACAATAAGACTCAAATAATAGAATACTACATCACAGTAAGACTCAAAGAATAAAATCCATTGACGAGGAAGATGAGATTCCAGATAACAATGACATTTAGTTAATTCTTTAACTTTAATACATTGTTGAACAAAGCTGTGGTACTGACAAAACGAGGTGTGAACAAAGTCAACATTATGGAGTATTATGCCTTTAGTATACTTTAATTTTAAAATAACAGCACATCGAAATTAGAACCACATAGTTTATACAGTTTGGAAACAATTACCGCAAAATAATAGATGAAAGACACATAAATCCATGTAGTTACTCAAGGCCATAGACGAAGGGGATCAACCCCTCAACATTTCTTCTGTCCCGACAAAAGAAAAAGGAGAAAATAGAAAAGCAGGAGAAAGAGAGAGAGAGAGAAAGTTTTGTTTGTAATTAAGCACAAAGCTATACAATGGTCTATCTGTGCTCTGCCCTCCACGGGTATCGAAACCCGGATTCTAGAGTTCTAATTCCGCAGACATACCGCTGTGTCACTGGGGGGAAAGAGAGAAAGTAAAGGCAGTTTTTTTCTTCCAAAATACGCCGTGTTTATATTATATAATATTTATTATATAACAACAATTGTTATGGTGTAATAGTACACAAACCACGCTGTATTTACCACTTAGAATATGGTTCCTTATTCTCACGCAGGTAACAGCACTTCACCATAAAACAGGTTGCTCGATAAATATTTTAGTTGTCTTATTTACGCCACTAAGACGGCTTGCTCACTAAATATATTGATGTCTTCTGATAGGTAACGGGCTCATTTTTACGAAGGTAGTAAAACATTTAATGAGTAAGCCAAGTTAGTGGGGTAAATAGGGTGACAAATGACTTTACAGTAGGTGTTCGTCATTAGTTACAATGGGTTGATGTTGTTAGTGATTTGTTTAATTAAGTTCTAATGCTTCTCAATTTTGTCAAGTTATTATTCAAATATGTTGATATTATTTGAAACGGCATCTCAAAAGCTCTGCGAGTTTCATGTTTTATTTATTTAAAGTAAAAGTCAATTCTGGCTTGGATATAATCGGTGGAAAGCCACGTTACTAGCAATAATACTTGTTTGTTTATGTAACCAACAACCGCACCACAAAAGCTCTGCGAGTTTCATGTTTTATTTATTTAAAGTAAAAGTCAATTCTGGCTTGGATATACTCGGTGGAAAGCCATGTTACTAGGACTAATATTTGTTTGTTTATATAACCAACAACCGCACCACAAAAGCTCTGCGAGTTTCATGTTTTATTTATTTCAAGTAAAAGTCAATTCTGGTTTGGATATACTCGGTGGAAAGCCGCGTTACTAGGACTAATACTTGTTTGTTTATATAACCAACAACAGCACCACGAAACAAACAAAAAAAAGATATAAAAAAAAAGCTTTATAATTTCTTGGCTTGATGCCAATATATTTATTTTTTGTCAAATCAGTTGTGCCATACTTGTATATTTTACTAAACATTTTTAAGACTAAAATTTTTATTTTCGAACTAAGATTGGTTAACCTTCAAATTACTAATCTGTTATCATACTGTCCACTACCGATAGGGCCTATATATTGTATCGTATGGAGCAATGTTATATTTTTCCTGTTACAGCCCTCGGTGTAAATAACTGACTAAAACATAGGATGAAACCACTCATTTTCTATATATAATACATAGCAAACCCCAGCAGCAGTCATGGGATAAGTTGTAATACTGAGGGTAAAAACTTTTACGTTGTCTTTGTGCGTATGTGTGACATATATTATTATGGAACCGGTTACCAACAAAATTCTGGACCCACAAACAATTTGGTGCAAGAATAGTTTAGAATAATGTGTTTAAAAACCAATGGAGTCCAGATGCCATCCGTAATTCTAAGGCGAACCTCATATTTTGAGGTGTTTTAAGATGGTCACTTATCGTTTTAGATTAAAATGTTCTACTGTCCAGGAAGTCCTTAATCAGTGTGGTCACGAACTTGGTAAAATCAGAAAACTCCGTAACCCCTCCCTTTATTTTTCATTTGAAAAAACCTGCACATGGAGATAAACACAAAGCTCGCTGCTTAGTGATACCAGTTATTGGTATATTTTAGCATAATCTTCATTAGTCACTCTGTGTTGATTTATCTGGTAATAATTAGGTAAATCGTTGTTTATATCATAGGTTAGACTACATATATTCTTCTGTAAGTGAAACATTCTATCTTCTACCATCAAGTTGCAATATTCTTGTTTGAAGATCTTTTCTGTAGTCTAAAGTACGGATGTTATGAAGGTTAATTATCCCTTGCAACCAGATTACACGATCTATTATAACCAGATTATATGGTCAAGAAATGTTCATTTGCTAGAAATGTGAAGAAAAGTGTGTAATACTCGCGAGTGTGCAGGGGAAATTCAATTTTGGAAAGAACGTAGTAACGCTTTATTTTATGTGAATAATGATTTATTCTCTGTAATACAAATTAGGAATACTGACTGTTTCTTTTAATAAAAGGATGTATATAATTCAGAAAGTTGGTTTGTAAAGTTATAACTTTACTACATACATGTTTATATATAATTTATGTTTTTAAAGGTAAATGACTTACAACATTGTATTTGCACAAAGAATTAAGGAAATTATACTGTATAGATTTCTGAGTAATAGAAACCAGGTTATATCTAACCACACGTACATAAACAACTTAAAAAGATCTTATTATCAGTACACTTCAGAAACAGCTTTATAATTGCTCTCAACGATCAAACATCCGCTCGTTTCTCCACTTGTAGAGGCACCTTTTTAGCTTGCAAAAGTCCTTGACCGATGTAAAAATCTAGCTTTTCCTAACAAAAAAATAATTAAAACGAAATAAAAATGTATGTTGCTATTAATTCAAAATAAATCAACACACACTTTGGAACAAATAGTTCGTTCCTTCATGCCAGCATTTTCATTTACACTTTAATAAAATCACTGAAACCAGCGATGAAGTCTACTGTTGATGGCCAACCAAACTAAACATTGAAGTTTTCAACCTGCGAGAAAGTCGCTGATCATTTACAACCACAGACATATTTTATATGTGAAATCTTAAGTTAGCATTAGTATATATCAGTTCGAAAAAACACACATAATATTAGAAATGAGGAAGAGAATACTATTGAAATATATACAAAAATGTCATTAAGAAGTTATACAGTAATTTTGAACCCGGGTTATGATTATCTGTCGTTATTTTGAATAAAGACTACCTTATTAAAAAGCAAAATATGAAATAACTAAATATGTCAAGATTTGATTCCACAAAAACAGAAGCAAAAATGAGAAGTACTAATTTAACATAAGACAAGAATAGGGAATTATCACTGATGATGTTTACTACTGTTTTAGACCAACACATCTTCACTTTGGTCATTTGTATCGTCTATAATTAGTCAGTTGAATACCCACGTTGTTATCAATGCTTTTGGCCATAATCCTATTAATATCAGTGATCATCATGAAGATCTCTGTCAGTAGTGGAGAAATGGGCTGCAAGGCTATGCACTAATTCATTTATCATTACTATAGATCATGAATCCCCTCTTCCTCTATTGAATCTATAGCAAATTCATAACTCTGACCAGAAATATCTCCACTAAGTAAGAAATATATATATATAGTTGAGATTTCTAGTAATACAAAAAACATATATTTAGAATTCTATCCTATTTCATCATGATCTTTATATTGTTACACGTGGTTTCATGCAATGGAATAGATGTTAATACATTTGACAACAAAACTAAGTACATACATTCATGAATTTGATCCACAACCTTAGAACTTTCTTCTATTTGTTTGTTTGTAGTTAGTTATGCATAAAGCTACACAATGTGCTATCTGTGCTCTGCCTACCACGGGTCTCGATACCCACTTTCTAGCGTTGTAAGTCTGGAGACAAACCGCTGTGCCACTGGGGGGGGGCGAACTTTCTTCTATGGTAAGTTCACTTACAATAAAATCTTTAAACCTTTTGAAACAAAAACAACAAATACTACAACTATCTTGTTTATAAATGTTTGGGTGCATTCCAATAATAAAAATTAATGTTTTTATGGTATTGCATACTTCTAGCTAATTTTCAGTCTTGATATATGTAATTAGCTTGCTTTCATCAGAAGATATTGCCAATTAATTATACTATAACTTTCAACTGCCATGAGTTATTTATTAAATCGTACATTGTTCGGACCTTTTACAAGTTAATTAGACATATATCTTCGTCTAATGTGAGGACAAACTTTCATTAGTTGCATCGATTGGTCTTCTGCTGAGTTACGTGTTTTAACAGAAGCTGATGATGATGGCTTTTGTATTACTTTTGTAGACCTAAATCCTTATTTGCAGTTCAAGAGAGGTTTCTACTTTAATGGAACACTGTGTTCTTGGGATATTTCTGATAACAAATTACTTAACTGTTTTTGCTATCTCTGGTGTGCAACTGGTGGCCGGTCGTGGAGTAGGCTCTTTTTCCTCCTGAAATTACGATCCTTTTACTTTACAGATATGGTTTAAAATTCCAATGATAGAACATTACCTGAACTTGGCAAAATCGAGGATGGTGTTCTGGAGTGGGGAAAAAAACAGCTCCGATTGACGTTTTTTTTTGTACCTTATTAAAATTGGCGTTTTTATCGCTGTACGTTTCATGGACGAAATCGTGGCGACAGTTGTAAGGCCTACGTTATTTTACATTTTTATTTTCTATCACAAATAAGCCATAATGGTTCTGGGCCTCTAGAACCCATCTGGTGTGAATCAGTTGTGAAACGTCCTGTTAAGGGAATTTATAAACAGCTGCAAATAGAGGGTACATTTTAAATTGTGGTAACCACTTAAGTGGACATACTCGCTAATAAGGTGGATTTAAACATCCTGAGAATCCTACTTCGGATTTCTCTGAACCATGGAGTTGCTGCGTGTATATACGTTTATTGTCTCTAATAAAAGTTTGTGATTTTATAAACTGTATATAAGAGATGATGTTTCTTGTAACACCAAGTTACGTTGTTATATGGTTACTCAACACAACAATGTATAGCTACATATATTGCTGCTAAGTATTATGATATATGCTTATTTAACACTACTCTTTACTGTTACATAATGCTATTATACAGGGTCACACAAATCAACAGTTATTTAGCACCAAGATATATAGTTACTATGCACGATGATATATGTGTGTATGTGAGTACATATGTACGTATCTATGTGTGTACATACATATTTTGTACTAGACATAAAACAATGAAGTATTCATTCTAATTGTTTATCGGGACAAAGCTCAAAAACATGTCATTGATAAGAAATATTAAAACTATTAAGTTACCCTCGTTTCTGCACATGCGCGGAAGCGGAAGGTTCTCAAAATTTGGGCGAGACAAAGTTTGGCTTCCATCAGGGCAAATCTCATCCCCACACAGTTTCTGGGCCCAGCTCCAAACGGGATGTAAGAGTAGGGATGTCGGTCTTTCTTTTTTTCTGGGAGGAATCTGTAGTTGATAACAACATTTGTGAATTTATTTTACAAATGTTTAGTAACATCTTTTTTTGAAGTAAGAAAATATATTTCTTACAACACCAAGCTAAACTTTTTTCTAAGGCTAGGTTACATGATTACTTAACACAAATACATAGTTACATAGCACAACCACACATGGCTGCTAAACATTATGATATAAGGTAACACCTCGATATACAGTTACTTAGTGCTACGATATAAGGTTATATAGGACAAGGGTTAATTAATATCAAGATGTACGTTTACTAAGCATTATAATATGTGGTTACTAACCATATTTTTTCCCCCAGCTTTAACCAAACTTTAAAATATGTCCAATAATTCTGAAATACATTTCTTAATGATGGAATTAATGAACTGCCCTCCCCACCTCCATGTAGCTCAGCGGTATGTCTGTGGACTTATAACGCCAAAAACCGGGTTTCGATACTCGTGGTGGGCACAGCACAGTTAACCCGTTATGTAGATTTTGCTTACGTTCCAAGTGTATTAATAATGTTTCTGGAGGGCTTACTTAAAAAGAATTTAACAAAGTAAATTCTTTGTTTATTATTTAAAAGTTTAAACAGCTCTACGAATTGTAAATAGATATGTTGTGCTACACGAAGAAACGTTGAACAAGAATAACTTCATATAAATAGCACCATTCTTATTAATAATGTCAAAGTTCGTGAAACTTCACACCTTCAAACTATTTCTTGAACCAAAGTTGTAGATGTAGTTCACCAAATTCAAGACAACTTTTTTACGTATGTTAGTGGAAAGTTAATTACGATTTCTGGTAAAGTATATTCACAAATACACATTAGATGTGTGTTAATTCCTGTTTTTAAGCTAAATATATTAGTTTTAATTACGTAATTTCCAATACAAGAGTAATTGTTTGCCATTTACAGGTTTTAATTCTGTGTTAAAGATTATGTAGGATCCAGTGTTGTGCGAATCTGAACCCGAACAGATGAACACAGGTCCATAAGACTTGGCATTACATTAATTATTGAACTCGAATGGAAGAACACAGGTCCATAAGACCTGACAGTACACTAATTGTTGAATCGGAATAGAAGAATACAAGACTATTAAACTTGGTATTACATTAATTACTGAACCTGAATAGAAAGACACGGGTCTATTAGACTTGGTATTACATTAATTACTGAACCCAAATAGCAGAACACAGGTCCATAAGACCTGGCATTACATTGATTATTGAATCCGAATAGAAGAACACAGGTCCATTAGACTTGGTATTACATTAATTACTGAACCAGAAAAGAAGGGCACAGGTCCGTGAAATCTGGCATTACATTAATTATTGAATCAGAATAGAAAAAATAAGACCTGCCATTACATTAATTACTGAACCAGAACAGAATAACACAGGTCAATAAGACTTCGTATTACATTAATTATTGAACTCGAATAGAAGAACACAGGTTCATAAGACTTGGCATTACATTAATAAGGCTCATGATATTCCAAAACACGAAGAATGAGATAAAAACGTAAGTTAACAAAAGAAAATAATCGTACTAACTTTAGGAGAGTAGGCTCTCCTTCTTCAGCTCATCACGTATTACAAAATTGTGGTATCTATGTGAAAACTGAAATTTTTGTTCTGTAAGTAGGATTAAAAATGAACTCTAAATCTAATGAAGGATTAATGATCAACTGTAATGTAGGGTTAAGGATGAACTGTAATGAAGCTTTAAGGAGAATGAATGTTAATGTGAAATGAGACTTAAATCAAGAGATCACTGCTCCACTTGTGGTGAAACATCAAGTTGTAACCAGAAATACGTTCAATGATTTCATCATTCCGTCTAATTGGGCTAACTCTTAGTAATATCTAATAGCATATGATCTTATGTATATAAAAAAACGTGTTCCGGTTCGAAAGGTCCGCAAGGTTGGAAAAATATGTTAGCTAATTACACATTTTGAACAAAAAGAATCCCCAAGGCGGGATTCTAGCAACAGGAGAAAATTTTGATGCTTCCAAATATGGATAAATTCTAGCTGTTTGTGCTCACGTGATTTTCTTATATTTTTACCCATGATCAGCTTAAATATGTTTAAAAATTATTTTGGTGAGTTGTGAAAAATGTATAAATATCTACGATTTGTTCTGGACAAAATCAAGCATTTGTTACCATGACTACGTTCTTATAAAGTCATGTCGAAAATGAACCAACTGCAAAAACAACGTATATAAGAGCGTGAGAACAGTATTATTCAACTAGCTATATTCATTACCGGCCTGTAGCTTGCTTTGATCGGAAGTCAATATTAGCGAGAATAATCTGAAAAACGTGAAACAAATGCTACATCCTAAAAATGCAACCGTAATCACGTTTTTCAAAATGTAGTGACTTTTTTGTTATGTTTGAAGTTAAGCACAAAGCTACACAATGGGATACCTGTGCTCTCCCAAAACGGGTACCAAAACCCGGTTTCTAGCGTTGTAAGTTCGCAGACACTGGGGGGGGGGTCCAAAATGTAGTGAAGATATAAGCAATAAATAAAGGGAACAACAAACATTATCATTACTGTAGAACCGCGATATAAGATGTTACGACCGTGATTTAATTTTAAATTAGTCCACTGTAAAATATCAGTCAATATCGCTTTGTGTCCGTATCGAAACTCTTAAAAAACAATACGTGTATTTTTATTTACCGTGATTTTTATTTTCATTATTTATATTTATCTAGCATACATTTTACAGTTTACTTGTACGTTGTTTTCTTCCATTTTACAGTGAATACAGTTCATGTATGATATTATTGATGTTTTTAAAGGTGTATCTACTCATCTGGTCAAAACACCAGACAGATAAGGTAAGAAAAACATTTCATAAATAGTCCCATTATTTAATCTTTAATAATGAAACCCAAACCAAACTTAATTGTATTTGTTTGTTGTTAAGCGCAAAGCACTGAAACCCGATTTTTAGCATGAGCCACGGAGGAGGAGGGGAGGATGGCTTGACCTTATTATGTACTAAAAGTCAAAATCACCATTTAAGCAAACCTGTAACTGAAGCAGAATATTTTAAAATTCTGTCTACATTCACTCCAATATTTCAGGCTGTTGCGACAAATTTCTGATATTTTATTTCCTTTCAATACATAAATTTGTCGAGAAAATAATTTGTCAGAAATACTAGTTTTCGCATTCACGTGCGTTTTATTCGATGATTAAGGTCTGAAATTTTATTTTTATTTTTTTTGTATTATTGTTACATATTTTCGAACAACTTTATTGCAGTATTCCCTTTGTTTGAAATTGTGATCAACCGCATGGGCGCTATGGAAACACGGAAAATCACATATAGGGTTTAATTAATTTCAATGTTGAAAAACTTCTCAGCAGAAGCAACAGTCACAGTAGCTGTAAGAAACATCCTAATAGCAATGCACACATTGAGATATATTTAGGGCTTCTCTTTATCGGTTTTTATTTTTTCTAAAAAAATGGTGTTTATTTTTAACTGTTTCATGGTTTTATTTGGATATCTTAAAATCAGTGTTTTCATTTCCAATTTTATGTAGATACATTAAAATCGGTGTTTTTTGAAATTTATACATTTAATACTGTTACGACAGCGGAAGTCACGTGAAGCTAGTAACACGTCATGAACTTCTAGAAGGATCCTGTCCCTTCCTGAAGTTACGAGAGGCAACTAGATATGCGGTAGTCTTGTATATATATATAAGCCGTCAAGAAGCGACGGCAAGGAGGTAATGTGTGTAATTGACAGTTGAGTCGAGCACGTGAGACATTCGTTGTGAATTATAGCGTTTGTTATAGCGCGACTGTGGAAATTAAGTGTATTGCAAAGTTGTATACAGAAAGAATAAACCAGTTTTATTTAAGAAAGGACTTGTGTCGCTAAAGTTTCATCGGAAAGAAATTATACGGGAAGTTAACTAACGACCAGAGACGTAACAATACTATATTGAGTGTGCTTTCTTATTGGGAGTAATAACTGATACAAAATATAGTTCTATTTATGTTAAAGTCTTGTATGTTTGTTTCTTAAACACAAAGCCACACAATGGGCTATCTGTACTCTACCCACCACAGGTATCGAAACTCGATTTTTTCGAGCTTTGTAAGTCCACAGACTTTGAGCCAAAATAGGGCTTTGTACCTTGAGAAAATAATGTAGACACTATTTCCAGCCACGTTTGTTTATTTTTTTAGAGTTTCTAGTTGTAGGCTTGAAAATAAAATTTTTCATTTTGATTCAACTTGCTTCTGTAGATTTTTGACGTTCCTATTCCCCTATTTTTACTTATAATGTAATATGTATGGTTACAACGTTTTACCAGGTTAACAATTACATACCTGATGATGCCACACTAAACTGGTGAAGCGTTGTACCATAAATATTATACCCTGTATATCCGACAATAAACAAGTTTTAAATTAAACTCAATAACCAGATTCTATTGGGAAAATATCGATATTTATGTATCAGGGATGCTTTATCAGTTAAAACCTAAAATCAGAAACCCTAGATATACTGTTAAAACTAAAACCAGGAGCCCTAGACATCTTGATGAAACATAAAATCAAAAGCCATTCATACACCATTAAAACCTAAAATCAGAAGCCCTAGATATGTTGCTGAAACCTAAAATCAAAAGCCCTAGATATACTGTTAAAACCTAAAATCAAAAGCCCTAGATATACTGTTAAAACCTAAAATCAAAATCTCTAGATATGCTGTTAAAACCTAAAATCAAAATCTCTAGATATACTGTTAAAACCTAAAATCAAAATCTCTAGATATGCTGTTAAAACTTAAAATCAAAATGTCTAAATATGTTGTTCAAACCTAAAATCAAAAGCCTCAGATATTCTGTTGAAACCTAAAATCAAAAGCCATAGACACACTGTTAAAACTAAAATTGGAAGCCCTGGATATATTGTTAAAATCTAAAACCAAAAGCAATAGATACACTGTTGAAACCTAAAATCAAAAACCCTAGATATGTTGTTAAAACCTGAAATCAAATAACCTTGATACACTGTTAAATCCGAATATCAAATAACTTAGATAATCTGTTAAATCCTAAAAAAAAACCTTGGATATGCTGTTGAAGCCTAAAATAAAAAGCTCTAGATATGCTGTTGAAACCTAAAATCAAAAGCCCAAGATATGCTGTTAAAACCTAAAATCAAAAGCTCTAGATATGCTGTTAAAACCTAAAATCAAAAGCCATAGACACACTGTTAAAACTAAAATTGGAAGCCCTGGATATATTGTTAACATCTAAAATCAAAAGCAATAGATACACTGTTGAAACCTAAAATTAGAAACCATAGATATGTTGTTAAAACCTAAAATCAAATAACCTAGATAATCTGTTGAAACCTAAAATAAAAAGTCACACATATGCTGTTGAAACCTAAAATAAAAAGCCCTAGATATTCTCTTGAAACCTAAAATCAAAAACCCTCCATATGTTGTTAAGACCTAAAATCAGAAGCCCTCCATATGTTGTTAAAACCTAAAATCAAAAGTCCTCCATATGTTGTTAAAACCTAAAATCAAAAGTCCTCCATATGTTGTTAAAATCTAAAATCAAAAGTCCTCCATATGATGTTAAAACCTAAAATCAAAAGCCCTCCATATGATGTTAAAACCTAAAATCAAAAAGCCCTCCATATGATGTTAAAACCTAAAATCAAAAGCCATACATACATACACCATTAAAACCAAAAATCAGAAGCCCTAGATGTGTTGTTGAAATCTAAAATCAAAAACCTTGGATATGCTGTTGAAACCTAAAATCCAAAACCTTGGATATGCTGTTGAAACCTAAAATCAAAAGCTCTAGATATGCTGTTGAAACCTAAAATCAAAAGCTCTAGATATGCTGTTAAAACCTAAAATCAAAAGCCCTAGATATGCTGTTAAAACCTAAAATCAAAAGCCCTAGATATATTGTTAAAATCTAAAACCAAAAGCCCTATATATATATATTGTTAAAATCTAAAATCAGAAGCCCTAAACATGTTTGAAACCTACAATCAAAAGCAATAGATAGACTGTTGAAACCTCAAATCAGAAGCCCTAGATATGATGTTGAAACCTAAATTCAAAAGCCATAAATACACTGTTAAAACCTAAAATCAGAAGCTCTAGATATATTGTTAAAATCTAACATAGAGTATGATTAATCATTATAGATTATCTGAGTTAGTAGTTAAAGTACATAAAAACAACATATAATACAAATTTCCCTGCTATAAATATTGGTTATAAGACACTTTAGACAACGGTTAAAATTTTCTAAATGATATATCTGAACATAGTTTAAAATATTTTTGATTTGTAAATTAGTGAAAATTATTAAAAATGTATTGGTAAACCATCAATACACAGAACAGCAGAAGTGGAAAGATTAGGCTAAACACCTATTAGGTTTACTCTATCTATATAATTATATGGATGTTTCGTAACTTTTCCTAAAACTAAAGTGAAAAAAATATGCTATCATGTTCAATAACATACTAAAACAAACCTTTCTGGGTCAAACACATCTGGTTGTGGATAATAATCAGGATCGTGGTGGATGGCGTAGACGGGAATCTGAATAAGTGTTCCTTTAGATATTTTAATACCCGTATCCCCCAACTCGTAATCCTCGTTAGCTACCCTTTCCATCCTATTGAAGTGAACCAATGCATAAAACACGAAATTATACACGCAATTAGTAACATTTACAGTCATGTTAAAAAAGCAGGTATCAAGTCATAAAAATTATCTTGTATTATACTATAATATCTTAAAATAGTGAATATAGAACTGAAATTATATCACGGTTTACAAAATGTACTAAAGGTAAGTTAGGAATGTTCTGTAATAAAAAGGAGAAACATTAAACAATATGTTATTTAAAGGAAAGATTATTTAATATCTTAGGATTAGGTCGTCAAGAAATTAATGTCGCGTTTGGAACACTTTCATTAACCACCTGTTACGACAGCGGCGGTCACGTGACGCTAGTAACGCGTCATATTCTCGAACTTTCACGTCCCTTCCTGAAGTTTCGAGAGGCTACTAGATATGCGGTAGTCTTGTATATATAAGCAGCCAAGGAGTGACGGCAACAATGTGTAATTGACAGTTGAGTCGAGCACATGAGACGTTCGTTGTAAATTATAGCATTTGTTATAGCGCGACTGTGGAAATTAAGTGTATTGCAAAGTTGTATTCAGAGAGAATAAACCAGTTTTATTTAAGAAAGGACTTGTATCGCTAACGTTTCTTCGGAAATAATTTTTACGGAAAATTAACTAACGACCAGAGACGTAACACACCCTTCAAGAAACGTACATCACGTACCATAGTTAAACGAATCGTTTAAACGTCACGTTAGTGTAGCCTATATAATGTATAAAGTTTAGTATACTGTAATCCCTCATAGTGATGGAACACGACGAGACACACATTCAGCATGTAATGCTGTTTGAATACAAGAAGGGAAACAACGTCACTGTATCCACAAAGAATATCAAAGAAGTTTATGGAAATGTTTTGAACGTTCGTAAAAGTTAA